CTCCATAATCCTAAATAAAGAGAAAGAGTTTAAAAAGCATATGTACATTACACAATTCACCTAGTTTTACTCTCAAGTAATGATGAATTTCAATTAGTCTAAATTTTTTTTCATTTTATATAATCAAACAATATAATATAACATTTACAGACATATTTTAAATAATTTTATATCATAATAATATTATTCTCAATAACAATGTTACATTATATGAACCAAATGTCCTCAAAGAATTAATTTTTAATGTTGCCTTGGGGATTGCAAATGAATCTTCATGCCATCACCCTTGTGCTTGGGGTATTATGCTAATTTAGCAATGAATGGTATAAATTAGTGTAAAAAGCTAACCCGACCTCAAGTTATCTGAATTGATTGAAATCGATTTGAGTCAAAACTATTTGACCCGAGGTGGTGATGATCTAAAATCAATTCGAGTCTGAACTGGGGTTGACCTGAACTCACATTGGACCTGAAAATTGTGGATCTAAACCCGATCTGAGAACGACCTGAACCCGAATTGAACAAATAATATGATAATCGAACCTAACTGCATCCGACTGATATGAACCCAAACCCTAGATTAACCTGATAATTAACTGATATTACCCGACTTGTTATCAACCTGACCTGTTATAAACCTGACTTGTAATTGACTCAACCTGTAAATGATCCGACTTGTTATTGAATTGATATGATATTTACCTTACTTAAAAGTTACAATTGATGAAACTGTAAGATTTTGATGAAGTTGTGAAATTTTAAATTTATAATAAACTATGATAATTAATATGATTACTTTTTAAAATTAAAACATATTGTTAGTTATGATAATTAAATTAATAAATTTACTTTCTATATTAATTATAATTCTTATATTATAAAACATAGGGACAAGATTCGTTTACACTATGTAAAACTAATGAGTTTTATATTAATTTATAGTCATTTGACTTAAACAAATAAATGGCTTATATTTAATTATAATCTATTACTCATAAATAATATATTTTAACTCAAAGTAAATAATATCTTTTTTTTTACTCCAAATCTTAAAATCCTAATTCCTAAACCCAAAATCCTAAATTCCAATTGCAAAACCCTAAATCCTAAACCTACATCCTAAATCTTACATTCTAAATCATAAACTCTCATTCTTAAACCCTAACCCTAATAAGAAAATAATATTATTTTATCCTGAGTTAAAAAATATTGATCTATGAGTTATAAATTTTAATTAAATCTAAGTCATTTATTTATCTAAATCTAATGGCTATAAATTAATGTAAAACTTATTAGTTTTACATAATATAAGTGGATCCTAACCCCATATATATATATATATATGCATATACTTTAGGATCCACTTACATTATGTAAAACTAATAAGTTTTACACTAATTTTTAGTCATTATATTTAGATTTAAATTTAGGATTTAGGGTTTATAGTGTAAGATTTAGGGTTTAAGATTTGGATTTGGGGTTTGGGGTTTTAGAATTGGCATTTAGGATTTTAGGGTTTAAGGATTAGAATTTTTTGATTTAGGGTAAAAAAATATTATTTTACTGTGAGTTAAGAGATATTTATTTAGGAGCAGGATTCATTTACACTATGTAAAAATAATAACAAGTTGTACACTAATTTATAGCCATTTGATTCAAACAAATAAATGGCTTAGATTTAATTAAAATCTATTACTCATAGATAAAAATATTTTAACTCGCAGTAAAATAATATTTTTACCCCCAAATCCAAAAATATTAATTCCTAAATCCTAAAACCCTAAATTCCAATCTCAAAACTTCAAATCCTAAATCTCAATTCAAATCTTAAACTTTAAACCCTAAATTCTAAATTTAAACTTTAATTCTTAACCATAACTATAATAAGAAAAATGTTACTTTACAGTGAGTTAAAATATATTTATTTATGAGTAACAAATTTTAGTTAAATGTAATTCATTTATTTGTTTAATTAAATAAAATTGTTATAAATTAATGTAAAATTTATTAGTTTTACATAATATAAATGGATCTTGTACCTATATAAGTATAATATATATATTAAAAGCAGGAGGAAGAGTGAATTTCATGCCCGGCCATAAGGCATAATTAATGAAATTTCAATTTCAAAAAATTGGAACATCTAAAAGCATGTAATTTTTGCATCAATTTTTTAATTTTCATTAACTAACCATATTTAGCCACGTGGACTGTGTAATTAGGGCTGAATTTACGAGATAATGTTGTGAGAAAAAAAAATTCACGAGATAACGCGTTTCAACAATTAATTGTTGAGATAGAGTGTTTGCTACAGGTCGAATATAGATCGCCAGGTGATCTGGGCGACCAATGAAGGTCGCCAGGTGGTTTGGGCGACCAATGAAGGTCGCCAGGTGGTCTGGGCGACCAATGAAGGTCGCCATGTATGCTGGGCGTCATGCGTTTGGGTTTGGGTTGTTTCTCAAACGAAATGTAGTGTTCTCATCTTAGTCAAACACTAGTTGTTTGGGTTAAATGCAAATTTGGTCCTCACAACTTTACACTCTCATACGCGTGTTTTAATATTTAGGGGATAATAGCATTTTCGGTCCCCTATGCTTTGTAATCTATTTGTTTAATCATTTAGTGACATTTTTAATGTTTTGTTTCAGGCATGTATATTTTAATAATTATATTTTAGTCACTAGTTGTTTATTCTGTCAAGTTTGTGTATGCTTCATTTTGATCATAATATTTTTAGTTATTTCATTTTAATTACTGATTTCATGTGTTTTATATATTTTCCTTAATTTTCGAAATTGGCCATGAAATTTGTAAACATGTTATTTTAGCCATCCTATTTTAGTATGTATTTATTTCTCCCTACCAACGATATTATTTCGCAAATTTTTCCAATATAAAATAAAACTAAATAAACTAAAAAATAATGAAAAACTTGAAATAAACGTAGAACAAATAAAAATTATTGAATACAAAACAAGATATCCCAATAATCAATTTTAAAATAAATACATACTAAATACAAAACAAGATATCCCAATAATCAGTTTTAAAATAAATACATACTAAAATAGGATAAACAAGAAACATGTATAACTAAATTATAATTGTTTGTGACTAAAATAAATACATGTATGAGAGTGCAAAGTTATGAGGATCAAATTTGCATTTAACCCAAACAATTATTGTTTGACTAGGAAGAGATAACACTACATTTTGTTTCTCCCAAACTCAAATGGCATGGCGCCCAGACCACCTGGCGACCTTCATTGGTCGCCCAGATCACCTGGCGATCTATATTCGACCTGTAGTAAACACTCTATCTCAACAATTAATTATTAAAACACGTTATCTCGTGATTTTTTTTTTCTCACAATATTATCTCGTAAATTCAGCCGTGTAATTAGATTCCAAGTTCGGCAGCCTCATTTAAAACTCCTACATTACTGCTTGCCGCCCATCTAATAAAGTGGGGCCGTCCATTTATATCTCAAAACATCACCACCGTTGACTTCCATATCCATTCACTACAAACAATCCTCTCCCTCACCGTTCAACTCATGTATTAATAGCCCTAAAAATCTTAGCTCAATTTCATACAAGGTCCCTCCACTATTCATTTTTATGAACTTAGTCCTATACTACAATTTCAATCATTTTAGTCCCTCTATTTCTTAAAATGTGTATTATTAGTTTTCATATATGTTAATTCTGTAAAATAATATGATGCGATACACACACATGTATATATATAAGGTTATGGTCTACTTACACATAACGTAAAACTTTTAGTTTTACACCATTTTAGGATAGTTCGATGAGAGAAAATCAAATGCAAGGACCAAACGACCTCGGTGGTAAATGAATTATTGTTATTCTTTGAGGTCCCGGGTTTGAGCATTAGAAATGTCAGATGTGTGAGCGTTCAATGTCAAATGTTTAAGAGTAATATTTAAACAGATATTGCCTTATACTTACTTGAGATTAATCAAATATATATATATATATATATATATAGGTTTAATATGTTAGGCTTCCTATATTTAAAAAAAAATAATTAAGTTATTATAATTCAATTTTGTGACACTGGTCCCTATGTTATTTTAATTTGAATATTTTTATCCCTCATCTAAATCATCTTAAACTTTATCATCACCATTGACATGATAATCATTAAAATAAAATAACTTTTTTGTATCCTACATTTTAATTTCATTAAATTAACATATAATGTTTAAAAGTAAAAAATACCATTAAGATTTTTAAAATAAAAATAAAAAATTCAATGTCACAAACTAAAATTGTGAATAAATTTTAAAATAATATAGAGATATTAAGCATATTTAAGGTCTTTATACCATATTTGGATAAATGTTAGGAGATTTTTGGTTTTTCTAAACATGAAAAAAAATCTTTTCAATTATAAAATGCCATGTTATTCTATCATGCCATCATATCTTTTCAATAAAGCATAATACTAAAAATAACCCCTAACATTTATCAAAATGATAATTTTGGTTCTTATTTTCTGGACCATTTTGATCAAACGTTTCACTTTGGGGCAAAAAGTTTCTTCTATAGATGAAAATTATTAGTTAGCACACAATTAACGTTTCAAAATATGGGCTTTTTTAACTTAAAATGAAACGTTAAGACTAAAATACCCTAGAAAAAAGAACAAGGGATAAACTAATTATTCTGTCAAATGTTAAAGGTCTTTTTGCCCAAAAATAAGACGTTGGAAGCCAAAATACTCTAAAAAATAGAATAGGGATAAATGACCATTTTGATAAATATTGGGGCTAATTTTGATATTATACCTTTCAATAAATAGAAAGTTAAATGATGAATTAGAGCGGGAAGACTATATATAAAAAAAACAATTATAGTAAAGGGACCGTGTTCATAATTTGACCAAATAGTACTACTCACTCTTCCATATTTATGTCCTTCCAATTGTCCTAAAGTTTAAAAGATATTTTCCAAGTTGGTTTAAAAAAACTCAAGGAAGCAGCGAAGAGATGGCAATAGAACAAAGGAGAGTCAAGGGCTCGACAGTTTCAGCCGCGACGGCAATCACTTTCTTGGTGTGTGTCGTCGGTGCAGCCGACGAGAGTGGGTTAGCGAACCAGTGCGCCAAAGATTTCCAGAGCGTGATGAGTTGCCTGAACTTTGCTCAGGGCAAGGCGGAGACGCCGTCGAAGGAGTGTTGCAGTTCGGTTTCGAGCGTAAAAGAGAACGAACCAAAGTGTTTGTGTTATATTCTTCAGCAAAGTCAGACATCCGGTTCTCAAAGTCTCAAGAGCTTGGGCGTACAGCAAGATAAGCTTTTCCAACTCCCCTCGGCTTGCCAGTTGAAGAACGCTAGCGTCAGCGATTGCCCAAGTAAGCTTTTAGTTCTCCTTCTCCTTCCTTCTTTTGATAATATATGTAACGAATGAATGAATTAATTGTGTTGCATGGTGTGATGATTTTTTGAATGAATAGAGCTTCTTGGATTAGCCCCGAACTCACCGGACGCCGCCATATTTACGAATTCAACAAAGGCGACGCCCGCTGCGCCATCGTCGTCTGGTTCGCCGAATAGTGATGATAACTCCGGCGGGGCGAAGTTTCAAACTGGTCGGTTCGTTGGCTCCGTGCTGCTGGTTGCCTCGGCTGTGTTTTTCTATATACTCCAAGAGGAATCGCTCAACTGTTTTTAGGCGGGGGATCAGATCAGAGCATAGGATGAATTCTTTTCTTTTCCTTTTCGCTACTCCCTGGCTGATGCAGCTTAGTTTTCACCATTAATGTTGTTTGTTTCTTACTTAAAAAGCGATCATATATATGGGAATTTTAACTCTTATGAACTTGTTTCATGGTTTTCTTTTTAAGTTTAACACAGCAATAGGTTGAATGAAAAATTAGATTAAATTAAAGGGTAAAGTAATAAATGGTCCTATGATTATAAGATATTGTTTTATTAAGTTCATTGACTATTAAAAGTTATAAATTGTTCATTCAACTATTGATTATGTTCCAACATGTCATTTTCCGTTAAAATTGACGATTGTCTAAGTTATATGTTAATATGATGACTGAGATATGATAATCGTTTGAGATGTTAAGATTAAATTTTATCATATCACAATTACATACTAGTTTAACTCAGAATACTGTCAATTTTAACTGAAAATGACAAGTTTATAATAGATGATCATTTTGTAACTTTTAATAGTTTAAGGACTTAATAAAACAGTTTTTTACTTTTAATAGTAGAAGGAATTAATAAATATTATCTTATAGTTGATGACCATTGATGTACTTTACCCTATATATTAAATTAATAATTAAATTATCTTGGATGGTTATGACTACTATTATCTTGTTTCTAGTTAAAGCAACTGATATATATATATATATATATATATATAAATTTATATAATATATATATTTTAATTTTTTTATTAATATGGGGTAAGTATAAGACAATATATGATCAAAAATAATTCTCAGCCATTTGATATTGAACTCGTACACCCCTGACATTCTTGATGCTTGAACCCAAACATCAAAGAATAACAATAATTCATTTACCATTAAAGTCGTTTTGGTTCATGCTATACATCATGTTAATACTAATATCTAAAATATTAATTATAATTATAAAATTTTAAACTATAAATCCTAAATTGTAAAACTCAAACAATGACACTAAAATAAACATTATTATATACATTAAATTTTACATAAATTATGTGTATTAATAATTTTCCATACATTAAATGCAAGTATTTAAGTGGTTTTGATATAAAAACGAAAAGGGGGTGAATTAATGAGTTCGAACATACATAATTTAACGGAGGCACGGACTTGTGGCTCAGAGTTATCTTTCATGTATCTTCTATTTTAATGGAGAAATGTCGAATTTTGAAGGCACTTCCGTCCATTTTGCTCGTTCAAATTGAGTTAAGAGGAGATATATTTTGAATGGCAGTTGAAATGTTCACCCCAAATTAGTACTTAAATTTTCCTTAATTTTATTTCACGGATTAAATTAAAATTCGATAATTTAGGAACCAAAACGAATTTTAGTAAATTTTGTGTCCAATTAGAAAGTTCTAATTTGATTTCGGAGATCGAGAATCGAGCGAGTTAGGGAGGTTTTGGTACCATTTGTTAACATTAAAATGCGTTAAATGCGTTTTGGAGAGTTTTATTTTGGTGAATTGTTGTTGTGTTGGGAAAGAAGAAGAAGAAGAAGAAGAAGAAGAAGAAGAAGAAAAGAAGAAGAAGAAGAAGAAGAAGAAGAAGAAGAAGAAGAATAAAGAAGAAGAAGAAGAAGAAGAAGAAGAGAAGAGAAAGAAGAAGAAGAAGGAAAGAAGAGAAGAGAGGAGAAGAAGGAGAAGAAGGAGAAGAGGAGAAAAGAAGGAGAAGAGGAGAAGAAGAAGGAGAAGAAGAAGAAGAAGAAAGAAGAAAGAAGAAGGAGAAGAAAGAAGAAGAAGAAGAAAGAAGGAAGAAAGAAGAAGAAGAAGAAGAAAAGAAAAGAAGAAGAAAAGAAGAAGAAAAGAAGAAGAAGAAGAAGAAAAAGGAGAAGAAAGAAGAAGGAGAAGAAGAAGAAGAAGAAGAGAAGAAGAAAAGAGAAGAAGAAGAAGAGAAGAGAAGAAGAAGAAGAAGAAGAAGAAGAAGAAAGAAGAAGAGAGAAGAAGAAAAGAAGAAGAAGAAGAAGAAGAAGAAGAAGAGAAGAAGAAGGAGAAGAGAAGAAGAAGGAGAAAAAGAAGGAGAGAAAGAAGGAGAAGGAGAAGAAGAAAGGAGAAGAAGAAGGAGAAGGAGAAGAAGAAGAAGAAGAAGAAGAAGGAAGGAGAAGGAGAAGAAGGAGAAGAAGAAGAAGAAAAGAAAGAAGGAAGAAGAAGAGAAAGAAGAAGGAGAAGGAGAAGAAGAAGGAAGAAGAAGAGAGAAGAAGGAGAAGAGAAGAAGAAGAAGAAAGGAGAAGGAGAAAGAAGAAGAAGAAGAGAAAGAAGAAGAAGAAGAAGAAGAAGGAGAAGGAGAAGAAGAAGAAGAAGAAGAAGAAGAAGAAGAAGAAGAAGAAGAAGAAGAAGAAAGAAGAAGAAGAAGAAGAGGAGGAGGAGAGGAGGAGGAGGGAGGAGGGGAGGAGAGAAGGAAAGGAGAAGGAGAAGGAGAAGAAGGAGAAGGAGAAGAAGGAGAAGAAGGAGAAAGGAGAGAGAAGGAGAAGAAGGAGAAGAGAGGAGAAGAAGGAGGAAGAAGGAGGAGAAGGAGGAGAAGAAGAAGAAGAAGAAGAAGAAGAAGAAGAAGAGAAGAAGAGGAGAAGGAGGAGAAGGAGAAGAAGAGAAGAAGAGAGAAGAAGGAGAAGAGAAGGAGAAGAAGAAGAGAAGAAGAGAAGGAAGAAGAAAAAAGAAGAAGAAGAAGAAGAAGAAGAAAGAAGAAGAAGAAGAAGAAGAAGAAGAAAAGAAGAAGAGAGAAACGAAGGCATCGGGAGGATGATGAAGGGAGAAAGGAGGGGAAGGAAATATCTACGAGTACGGAAGAGTGGGCAAAACGCTACTCGTCCACCTGCTCCCCCTACAGGCCCGACCCTGAGGGTAGGCGAGGGGGGCGACCGCCTAGGGCCCCGGTTTGGAGTGGACCCATTCTTGAAAATATTTTCAGCTTTTAAGCAGATCCATTGACAAGAAACCGAGGGTGAAGTGCTGGAAGATGGTGATAGTGAAGTTGAACCAGACGAAACACCCAGGCCCCATGCTCCGCAATACACTAGGGGCCCAAGTTATTTTTTTAGGGGTCTTTATTTTTATTTTGCCTAGGGCCCTTAAAATGTCAGGACCGACTCTGCTCCCCTACTCAAGCAGTTTTTTGCTTATGTCACTTTACGTGGGTAAAATATCGAAACGATAACTATAATTTCGGATTCATTCATTTTGGTCACCAATTTTGAGAAAGCTATGTATGTTGAACGGTGACTTACGTTATTGTTTCGTTACTTAAGTTACCAACTTTTATATTTTGATCACTTGGTTATTGACTATTGTAAAATGATATAAAACATTAATATAAGTGATTGATTTTCAATTTAACTCCTGAATTTTAGATGAAATATCATTTTGATCCCTAAATTTTAGATAAAATATTAAGGTTTAAGGATCACTTCTGCCCATGTAGTAGATTCAATCTATTATTTTCCCATATGATATGTTCCCATCAATTTAACCCTCAAATTTATTTAATTGCATCATTCTATATCCTACATCTAACTTAAAAACCTATATTCTAAACCCTAAACCCTATCTTAAAACCCTAAACGATAGTAAATATTTTAAACATTGATGCAATTGAGTAACTTCGATGACTAAATTGATGCGAAAATACCACAAGAGCGAAAATGATAGATTAATTCTACTACAAGAGTAAAAATGACCCTTAAATCAAATATCAATTTGAATTCTAAATTAAACCAAAATCTCTTTTCATCGACGGTCGCTCACCACTATTAACATCAATAATCATCGGTTGTCATTATCGAAGATCAAATTTACGTCGAAACGAGTATCATATTTATATTTTAGAGATTAAAAAAGCATGTACTAATAATTTTGTTCAAAATATTCGACGACGATGATGTTTTAAATTATTAATATGATGGTACCCAAATATAGCAGTCCATGATATTTTAAAGCAAACTATTATAGTAAATTAATAGGCTTACATAATTAGGAATGCATAGATTCAAAATAATGATTATTAAGGAATATTTTTTATATAAAAATCACAATTTAAGCCAATTATGAAAGTAATGATAACTTATTTATAGAATGTGAGCATCTTTACTTTTATCGGGCTAAAACAAACATTAAAATATGGGGTAAATTATATGTTTAGTACTTAAACTATAGTTTTAATCTATTTTACTACCTAAACTTGTAACTTTTTCAAAGCCATACCCATAGTTTTTGTTTCATTTTAGTGTCCATGTTCAAAATTTAATAATAATTTAGGTATTAAACACGTTCAGTCTTTAACAGTAAATACTAAAATGAAACAAAAACTAAACATTAAATATGATTTTGAAATAATTGAAAGTTTAGGTACTAAATGTGTAGTTTATCCTAAAATATATAGCAATGCTATCAGCCCAAAACAGTTATGAACGGCCCACATCGTGAAGCCGGCATGTGAAAAATTTCAATTGAACATATAAGAGCCAGGTTTTGATCCAGGGACCTATGGATCAAACCTTCCTAAGTTCAGACAGGTCTGCGCCTGTTGGTCACTTTTAAATTTCAGCATTTATACCAAGTTGATGAAGAAACAATTCTAATATTAAGCATCTTTTTGTAACATATAAACGAGGAAACTGGAGTTTGAATCCAAAATGTTTTAAGCTTTGAATTGATTCCAATGGGACCACAAATTCCAAATTATGGAAAGAAGAAAAATGCAGAATTGGACCATTTTGTGAAGTCAGTTCATCTGGTTGGAATAACAGACATTATCATAGGGAGGCTTGAGCGGCTGGAACTCTTGGAAATGGTCGTCACCATCACTGTTATGCACTTGGGATTCAGCCGTCTGATGATGTTCTATCAACCAGTTTTCGGGTAAGGTACTCGGAAATCCTTGCCAAATTGCATTCATAGGTGGCTGAGACACATTGGTAGTAGGATTGACATGCATGGGGTAGGCAACCGAACCGTGTTTTGGCTCACAAGAAACCCAGGAATCA